GGGCCGGGCCGGGCCGGGCCGGGCCGATCTTTGGGTGATGAGAGGAGACCACAGGGGCGAATATGTCTAAGATAGGAGGAAAGTGGCAACTCTAAGACACTACTGCGTCCTCCGCAGGTGTATGAGCAGCTCTATGACACGCTGGATATCACGGGCAGCGCAGAGATCCGGGCTCATGCCACGGCCAAGGTAGGCATCCTGCCCTCCCAGCCTAGGCAGTCCTAGGTCCTCCAGAACTATAAAAACCCTTATAAGTCTTTATAACTTCGTTTAAATAACCGCACATCTTAAACTGAAACAAATGTCGCTTAATAGGTCAATGGAAATCATCTTAGTGCTGCCTAGAGGATAAAAGTAAACATCTGTATAGCAGATTGTCCTATAGAACTCATCACACTGAACTTAGATGCGGCTTCTTGTTCCTTCTTTTGGCTCTCAGTTCCCTCTGGGCTGTTTCCATCTGTAAAAGAGTAGATGTGGTGGTACAAACCTGTAATCCCAGTACTCTTCAAGGATGAGGCAGGAGGATCCCAAGTTTGACTTCAGCTTGAGCAATTTAGCGAGACCCAGGCTCAAAATAAAAAAGGTTCTTAGTTTAATCACCAGTACCTAACAAAACCATAAAATAAGATTGGGCAGCACAGTGTGACCCTGAGCGTGAGGAACACACTCCCGCTCAGCTGGTTGTCCCCACCTGGCCTCTGCCCCTGCGCCTGCCCCATCCCTCACCACCTCACACATCCTCTTCACTAGGCCACAGTAGCTGCCTTCACAGCCAGTGAGGGGCATGCACATCCCAGGGTAGTGGAGCTGCCCAAGACAGATGAGGGCCTGGGCTTCAACATCATGGGTGGCAAAGAGCAGAACTCACCCATCTACATCTCGCGAGTCATCCCCGGAGGTGTAGCTGATCGGCATGGAGGCCTTAAGCGTGGAGACCAGTTGCTGTCGGTGAACGGTGTGGTGAGTTGGGGGGTGGGCAGGGCTGGGTGATCATCTGTTATGCACACCCTGATAGTGACATCCACTGAACACTGACTGAGTACTTACTGTTCAGTGGGCAGACCTGTACTGTGTAGGGCTTCACACCCCAAGACTCCTGCCTAGTCTGACTGAACTAGTCCTAATTCAGAGACATAAGGCAGAAGCACAGAGCATTGTGAGAATCCAGATGTGGCTCCAGTCCATTGTAGAGAAGGGAAATTTTTGCACAAGAAACATTTGAGCTCGGTGTTGAAGGATGAATAGGATTTCGAGCAAACCAGGTGAAGAGTATTCCTGGATGCAGGGCTTTAGACAAGGGCTAACTCCGTGCTTCTCTGAGATGGGGCTCAATTCTGACGGAGATCTGGGGTATGTGGCTAATGAAAATGCTGTAGAGTGAAAAGCAGCATAACTGGTAGGTGTCAGTGTCGACCTTCGCATTTGATCCAGGGCTACTCCTGCAAGACTTCAGTGCCAGCCTAAGAAGCCACAGGAAGGCTGAGTGCAGGGAAGGAATGATTTTGCCTGGGGTTGTAGGAATGTTCTGGGGGCATCTGGGAGGGAGACGGCATGGGGAGGCCAGGGAAAGAATCCAGAAGAGGAGCTTGACCTGGTGGCACACACCTGTAAACCCAGCACTCAGGAGGCTGAGGCAGGAGGATCATTTCGAATTCAAGACCAGCCTGAGCACTGAGCTGTGTAATGAGATAGTCTCAAAAAGACAAAAAAAAAAAAAAAAAAGTCCAGAAATGGGAGGATACAGCCTGAGTCAGGCCAGAGCTGTGTGGCCCAAGAAAGGGAAACCAGGTTGGGAAGGGACCAGTGGGCTGTTAGGGGGAGAGGACAGGATGGGATCAGTGAGTGACTCCCAGGAGGAGGCCCTGTCCCCGCCTGGCCTGGCACCGGGCTCGCCAGCGGTGGGCGGGTCCAGCCAGCTGTGCACCGGCCTGCCCTGCAGAGCGTGGAGGGCGAGCAGCATGAGAAGGCAGTGGAGCTGCTGAAGGCGGCCCAGGGCTCCGTGAAGCTGGTGGTGCGGTATACGCCCCGTGTGCTGGAGGAGATGGAGGCCCGCTTTGAGAAGATGCGCTCCGCTCGCCGGCGCCAGCAGCACCAGAGCTACTCGTGAGCCCCTGGGCACCCACCCTGGGGGTCACTGCCACCTCCCCTGAGGCCAGCCATTGTGATCCCTGGGCGCTTGCTTCCCGCCAACCCTAGCTCCTGCCTGTCCTTGGGTACTCTGGCCCTTGACCCCTCTCCTTGTGGCCACACTCCCTGGGAGCACCAGCTCCCATACTCCCTCATCTGGAACCTCCTCCCAGCTTCACCTTTGCACCTCCCTGTGCCCAGACCTTGCTCTCTAGTGCCCCCTCAGCTCTCCCCTGAGCCTGCTCCCCTCTCTTTACCCTGCCCCCGCAGGTCCTTGGAGTCACGAGGCTGAAACTACAGATCTGGACCCTTACTTCTCCCTTGTACAGTATTTATTGTCACCCTATTTAAAGATCTTTGACCCTCACTAAGTGTCTGTGTGTCTGTCTTGGGGTTAGAGCATCCTGAGGTGCCCGGCTTGGGGGAGCGGAGGTCGACACTGAGCCCTAACGTTTTTTTCGAAGTCAGACAGCAGAGGCAGCACCCTCTCCTCTCCCCAGGTCTTGAAGGTGCATGCTGGCCGGGTTCGTAGGGGCAGGTCCGAGGTGGAGGCCAACACCTGGTCTGGGTCTGGGTGCAGGGGCAGTAAAGACAACGCCTCCTACCCTTAAGAGGGTCGGAGCCGGGCGCGGCCCTTTCCTCCGCATTTGATCTAACCGAAGAGTCCTGAGCCCCAGCAGCAGCCAGTGGGCGGCCTGTGTGTGGGCGGGGCGGAGCGAACCATTAGCCTCGTCCGCCGGGGGAGCCCTGCAGGCCCACGACCGTCTGCGTGGGAGTCGGGGGTGCGGGTGCCGCGTGCAGTTCCCGAGGCGGGCGCAGGGGTGCAGAACAAGGTGCATTCACCCACTGGGCACTCATCCCACCTTCCAACTAAAGCGTGTCTTTCCGGGAGCCGCCCTTTCCTTAAAATCCAACCTTTATCCCCATCCCGCTGCCCGCCCAGCCCTCACGTCTTGTGCAGCCCCAGGGCCAGCGCGCGTCACCGCGGGGATCTGGGGTCCGGAGTCGCGATCCGACCTGCGAGATACTAGCTCCAGGTGACATCATCCCCCTGCCGGGCTCCGCCCCCCGCCCCAGCGGCCTCACGCCGTGCGCCTATTGGTCGATGCACCTTGAGCCCCCGCCTCCCGCTCTCCGCCCGCGCGGCCCCTCCCTACCCGTGCAGGGGCGGGGTCTAGTCGCCGGCCGGCGCGGACACCGCCTCCCATTGGCCACTCCACACCGTCTGTCGGTCTCCTGTTAAAGGGGCCACGACCGCCTGGGAGCTGTGGGGGGGAGGGGGAGGGAGGAAGAAATTTTGGGGGGGAGGTGGGATTTGGGGGGCGCTGGTGGGCACCCCTGGATCTGGCGGCTGCGGCCTCGCGGGGGGAGGCTGAACGGCGATCGGGGCAAGGGGCTATTTAGGGGGTAGAGGGCAGTGAGGCTGTGAGGGGGAGGGGGGTCCCCAGCGCCCAAACCGGAGTAGGAGACGCTGAGCCCGCGCGAGCGGCGGAGACAGGGCTCTAGAGCTCCAGAGCCGGGCCCCGGCCGCCGCCAGGGGCCCCGCCCGGTCCCCCCACCCCACCCCACATCCCTTCTGCAGCCCAGCTCCGCCCGCAGCCGCCGCGGACCAGGTAGGTAAGCTCCTGGCCCAGCCCGCCCGGCAGCGCCCACCCCGGGGACCCTGGGCGAGCTTCCCCCGCCTCCCGGAGATCCTGGTTTCCCGAGCTCATCCCCTGGGGCCCTGAAGCCCGGATTCCACAGCCAGACCCTGGAGACTCAGCATCCCCTTCCTGGCGCCCAGAGTCCCCAGTCGAACCCTGGAATCCCGGGCGTGCTGCCTCCCTGCGCCTCCTCCGGGGCCCAGGAGCCTGGATTCTTACATCCAGCCGCGGACCCCCCGAGCTTTGGTCCCTCTGCTCTCCAGTCCCTGGCACCCCGGACGCCACCCGCCACTGTCCTGCTCCTCCGGGCGCCGGCATCGCCCCCATCCGCGCCCCCGTCCAGGTCTCCAGCCTCGGCCGCATCCTTTGGCCCTGCCGGTTGACGGCCGCTCTGGGCTCAGGCCCGCTCCGGAGCTGTCCATGGTCAGCGCTCCCGGGAGCCTGGCTCCCCACCCTGAGCCGCGCCGCCAGGGAGGGGGGCGCAGGTGGCGAGGGGGACACCCCCAGCCGAGCCTGTGACCCGGGGATACCCGGGCCCTCCCTGACCCGGGCCGCAGGATCTTACTGGCCAGACTGTCAGCCTTGTCCCCGGCACCCCAGGTTTCTGGGATCCTAGCTTCTTCCTGAGGAGACAAGGCTACTGAATGTTCCTGCCCTGTCCACCTCAGGGACCTTGGTACCTAACACTCAGATCCCACCCGGGTCTGGAAAGCAGTCAGTGCTCACCCAGCTGCCGGACCAGGATGTTAAGTCCCAGGAATCCCGTGGCCCGGCTTTTGGCCCTTGAGCACCTACTTGAACAGCCTCATGCTCCTCAGACAAACCTACTCAGCCTCCTGGTGCCCAGCATCTGCTCCTTAGGAACTCAGGCGCCATGACTCGCTTCCTTGCAGGATCTGAAATGTAATTCCTCAGCTTCTGTCCACCCTCCCCGCTGGGCAACCTAAGCGTCTGGTCCCCACTCCCACATCCCTGCAGGACCCAGGTTTTGTACTGCCCATCAGCCCTTACCTAGACCAACTGCCCCAGCTCTCCCTCTCTGAAAGACTAGCTCTAAGCTTCTAACTTCTGGTCTTCCACCTCCACAAGGGTTCAGGAGTGCAGAACCCCTTCCCTGCCAGCATCTAGCGTCTCAGATTGAACTTTTAGGGACCTAGATCCTCATGGCTTCTTGTCAAATTCACATTTCCTATGGCATTGACCACCCCCCAGGCCATGCTCAGCATGTGAGACACTAGGCTTCTGGAATCCCCTCTCCTCTCTCCCCTAAGACTCCTAATTCTGAACTGTTTCCAGAACTATGTTGCCTCTGAGCCCCATGTCCTGATGGCACCTGAGTACACTTTCTCAGGCCAGTGAGCCCATCATACATTGCATTCCTCCAGATGGATTCTGAGGTTTACTAGGTAGGCGCTTTGGGTGATCTAGAACCTACGTGCAGACTTCCATGTTTCTAGTTACTCAGTGCCTTCAATTGCTCCATGTTCCAGATTCCTTCTAAGTCCTAGAATTGACCCAAAGGATGTCTCTGTTCTCACCGAGACACCCAGGGAACAACTGTTCTAAATCAGCTGCTAGACCCCAGTCATGTCTTTTTCCATTTATCTTTTCAAATATCTAGATAATGTTCCCAAGCCAAGTTCTGATCACAGACCTGTTTTAATTTTCTAGCAACCATTTTTTACTTAGTCTCTGCTAAATTTCCATTTTAGGTGTGTCCACATCCTTGACATTCTAGATTGCATTCTCTTTCCCAGAAACATTCTAACTTCTAGAGTCTGTTCTATTATGTGCTCTAGCCTTCTTCCAATGTGATTTTTTTTCCAATGTGATATTGATTCTAAATGTAACTTTTTTGTCTTATGTTCCATCTCATTTCACAATCTTAAATCTAGAAGATAGTCCACAAGGTGTTCTACATTTTAGTTTTCTTTCTCAGGTTCTAGGTTCTAGGCCTATCCGTGGCCACTTTCTTTCTTTTCTTTTTCTTCTTTCTTTCTTTCTTTTTCTTTCTTTCTTTCTTTTTTTTTTTCCCCCCTGTGGCCTTAGTGTAGAACTTCTCTCCTGGTGCACTGTGGCCGTCTCCTCCATCTGCCACTTTGGCATACTAAGCATGTTCTAGGCTCTCTCCTCCTCCAGAGCCTTCAGCTTAGAATGTTCCCATTTCCAGAACACGCCTCTCCCTTGCCAGTTCAGTCTTAATCTCAGGAAATTATTTTTTTGTTTTGTTTTGTTTTCTAAAGACAGGATCTTGCTATGTTGTTCAGGCTGGCCTTGAACTCACTATGTAGCCCAAGTTAGCCTTGAACTTGTGAGAATCTTCCTGCCTCAGCCTCCCAAGTGCTGGGCTTACAGGGATGTACCAGAATGCCTATCTCTCAGGAAATTCTTAATTCTTGCTTAATCCTATCCTAATTTTTTGTTTTTCTTCAGGTACTTCCAATTTCCAGATGAACTCCTTATTTTTCTTCATACTGATGGCGTGTTCTGAATTCTGGAGCACTTTTTTTTTTTTTTTTTTCAGTGTGAGGGGCTGGGCTGAACACTGAACTGATAGCCTGAGATAGTCTAGGCAAGTACTGCTCCACTGAGCTAACCCTCAGTTCCAGAGCACATCTTCTGCTTTCTGATTCTCCCAGTAATTCATCCTGGTTAGTTTGTCTTCTGCATTTCCCCTTCACCCCTGGGAGGCTGGACATTGAACTTAAAGCTGGGTACATGCGCTAAGCTCTGGGCTCGTGTTCTACCACTGAGTTAGTCTTCTGATCCAACGAAGAATGTGACTCTGCTTCATTCTGCCTTAATCCTTTGGTCCTTAGTTGGTTCCTAGTTCTAGATTACATTTCATTAGTCTTGCTGTGTGTTCCATGGTACTATGATGCTCCTCTGTGTTTGGGGTTCTGGGATAACCCAGATACTTTAACTTAGGAGGCTGCTTTTGGCTGGTTGTAAATTCCCGACTTTGGTTCTAGACCGCTCTACTTAGCCTGCACACAGCAGAGATGGAAGCACTACTTCTTTCTGCCTCCAGTCCTATCTTGACGACACCCGCTCTCTAGATCTATACGTAGCTCTGTGTTCTGTCCCTGGAAATAAATCTGAGGTACTAGAGCAGCCTTCCCAAAACAGGCTGTGTCACATCTTCTGAGCAGGTTGTGGGTTCCAAATGTCCTACTGGATTTTGGCCTACACTGTCCTGCTCTCCATAAACGTTTCCCTAATCTGGTCTCAGACTGCGGGGATTCTGGGGTCTGGACTCTCAGATGCACCACCCCAAAGGCCCAAGAGTGCGGGCTCACAGCCCCCTCCTTTCCCAGGTCCCAGAGTCCTCCTGGGAGTCCAAGGCCTCAGTTCCAGGCTGTGGGAACAATCTGCATGTTGGGTGGGGTTGAGAATTATCCTCTCTCAAACCGGTTATGCTGCTGCTCCTGGGGAGGACAGAAAGGAACAAGTGAAAGTCCCTCCCGCTTTCGGCCAGGCAAGCCTGACCTGTCGGGCCTGAACTGTACCAGGGAGCGGCTCAGAGGACCTCGCTCCCTCTCAGCGCGGTCTCAGGCTCCTGGGACCTAAGCCCCGCCTCCCAGGCCCCATAAACCCCGCCCCTTCCTCCGTCCCCATCCTCAGTTAACCCCACCGGGGCTGCGGGAGCACTCTAAACTCCGGGATCTGGCAGGAGGAGTGAGCACTCCTAGGTCCCCTAGGAGGGAGAAAAAGCATCTGCGTCTAAGGAAGGAGGCTGGGAGCCTCGAGAGGAAAGGGGCTGTGTTTTCTAACGCCGGGGGTGGGGAGCAAGGGGCCAGAGACTGGACTCCTAGGGGATGAGGGGTGGGAAGGGGCTGAGGCAGGCGAGAACCGGAGCTGAGACGAAAAAGATAACTAGCACAGCCCTGCCTCTTGCCATGGTTTTTACTTTTGTATTTTCAAATGGAGTGTGGCTCTTCGCGTTCTCCTGGAGCCAGGGTCTTGATGTCTGGGAAATTGAAGGAGCAGGGAAATTTGGATTGGATAGTGGGTGGGGTCCCTCCCCGTGATGTTACTATTACAGGTGACCTTGTTCTGTAATAGTAGCAGTAACAGCGGTCCCAGTCCTGTTGCTTTCTGAAAGGGGTGGTGGTTCTGGTTGGTGGTTCAGTTTTGCCTCCTCTGTGAATGGCGGAATGATGAGGACTCTCAGTAAAGTCAGAATAGGTAGACTGATGACTTCTGCATTCACTAGGGCGACACTTGGGTCACAGGCTTGCTGTCTGTGTCTGGTGAGGCCTGGCCTTAGTTTCCGCAAATGCT